GGTCAGTCTTATTGCCAAGTGATGCCAGCATACCCTACCTCAGTAGTTTCAAGTAGAACGTGTGGGAGCTAAGTACCATATATATATATACATATATATATATATCCACGTTTTCCTAGACGGTAAACGGTAAACGGGCGGTGACCCTCCGTTTAGCGTTTAGACTGTGTAGACGCCGTTTAGACGCCGTCTAAACGGATTAAACGGTTTTGTTACTGTAGCAAGGTTTCAACAGTTTTGTATATATAATTATATATAGATGCCAATTTTACATGTAAGATACCTTGCATAATTCCATAAGTCACAGAACATGTACAAAACATGAGAAGGGAAAAGAACATGAGTCACAGAACTGCACATACCTTGCATAATTTGAGTTTCTGAACAGAGCAGTACCTAGGATTGGGAGGCAGTTCGGTCGGAGGAGGCGTCAAGGCTGGAGCTGCTGCTGCTCGGAGGCGGCGTCACGGCTGGAGGACGGAGGCGCGACGCGCGCAGGACGGAGCCGCGACGCCCGCGCAGCTGGAAGTTGGCCTCGTCGCCGGCGCGCTGGTCGACGCGCGTGCAGAGGAGGGAGAGCGCACGCAGCGCAGCTGCAGCAGGTCGGCCTCTCGTCGGCGGCGTTACTGGGACGCGCAGGCGTCTTGAGAGTGGCGGCGTGCGTCTTGTCGAGCTGAGCGAACGGGAAATTTCCTCTCAACCCTAGCCTCCGGTACTTGTACCCGGCCCAAAACTTGTCGAGGAGCCCGCCAAGGCGCCAACTCTTCCCGCCTGCTGCTCCCGCCCCATTCCCTCTTCCCGCCTCCCGCTCGGTTCCCTTCCCGCCTCCCGCCTGCTGCTCCCGCGCATCGATTTGGGCCGTGGCCATCACCTAAACGCCCGTTTATTCCCGTTCCAGGCGTCCATTCCCGTTTCCTGCCGTCCCGTTTAGCCCGTCTTCAACGTTTATTCCCGTTTTTGACCGTCTAAACGGGAAAGCCGTTTAACTGTCCGCCCAGGCCCTAAACTTCACGGCACCCTGTCGTTTACCGTCTAAACGCGTTTAGACGGCCGTTTAAAACCGTTTAGGAAACCGTTTAGGAAGACGTACTATTTTGTAGCTGGCCACAAAATAAGTTATTCTGTGGACACTTTGAGTTACGATAATTACTATACTAATTTACGAGATTATAGTAACTCCCTCATAAGTGATTTACTATAGCATTATGGTAAGTATCATCTTGAATTATAGTAACCCATGTATCATAAATGTGTATTGTCATTATCATAAATTGGTACAAACAAACATTATCGTAAATCAAGGTGGCCATAGAATAAGTTATTATGTGGCCAACTGTAGAATAGCCTTACCGTGTGTGTGTATATATATATATATATATATATATATATATATATATATATATATATATATATATATATATATATATATATATATATTCCATGAGATGCCTTGGTTTGCGGGCTTAGTGAGAGAAAATATGTTTCTTAACCTGTATCTGCATTTGTCCCAAGCCTTTTTTTTCCTTGGAAGTCTTATAGAGAACTTTGATAGATTGGAAGATTAACTTTCTTTGATACAATGCCATTTGCAGGTCAAGCTAAATGGGATTATTCCTTAATGTAATTTAATTTTTGTTTTTTGGATTTTGTCCCATCTTTTTCTAACTTGTTGGAGTAACTGTCCCTGCAGATTTAATTTGTTTACTGAATATGAAAACATGGTCGATGAAATTTCTGTTTGATGGTACATGTGAGCCCATGGATTCAACTAATAATAAATGTACAATGGATTGGCTTGTGGGTTCAATAAGACGACCAGATGCATAAATAAGGAAATATTGGGATGATGAAAGTTCAAATTATTAATTATTTTTGAGTTTGTAAATGTATACCAATGTTGCTCAAAACACTATGTTTTTATGCTCATATCACATTGAATTTTTCCGGAACCTCTTCTCTCTGAATCCAGAGATTAAGAAAATTATTGACACTTGCTTTCCCATTTGTTAAATATTGTGTTGTTATCTGCGGTTTCACATACCAAATTTGTAGCGTGTGCTACATATAAATCATTCTGTTTTTAGTTGAGCTAAAAAAAATAGTTTGAGTATTTGTTTCTTTGTAAATGCAATTTTATCTTCTAGAAAATCTAATATTTTTCTGTTACGTAAGTTTAGTTTTTGCTTACAGACACACTCGCACATGTTTATCTTATCAATTCTTTTCTATATAACATATTTCAGCAACAAAATAATTTTCATATAAAGTCTACTATCCTACGATCTTAATTTTTTACTGTAACTATAAAGTCACATGTTATAAACATAAACACGTGCATTCATAGGTGTGGATGTAGTATAGGTCATGGTTGTGAAGCAGGTATTTGTTGTGTGGCTTTAGATTTATTCTAACTGGTGTATTATAGAGGGTAGATTTACATGGTGCTGCTTTCTTTTAAGATGTCAACATGGTTTGTCGCCATAGCGTTAGTACGGACAATATACTAGTATCTATTAAGTACACCATGTTGGCTGGGGTCATATAAGCATGTCTAACTCCTTTGCTTTTATTGTCAAAAGCTTATATGAACCAAGCATGTTGAAAACCTCATCTCTTACACATACTCGAGGTTGTATTGTCATCAATCACCAAAAAGGGGTTGAAAGCATCTAGGCCCCTAGTTGGGTTTCGGTGATTAATTACAATACGAGATTACTATGACTAACGTGTGTTTTGTAGAGGCAATTAAGTTAGGTCATGGTAATGGCAATTGATTGGACAATCATGGTTGTCATGTCCCTATGATGGAAATCGTTTTGGTTTTCAAAGGATGGACGACAAGGTTAAGGATGGACTAATTCTAAGTGTCGTTTAGTGTTGAAGAGATATTTAGAGTAGTTTATGACTTTATTTTTCCTTTAGCCGTACTATTAAGGGGGGTATGGACTAGTAGCTTGACCTAGGTGAGTCTAGTAGGTTAGGTGTGGTGCACACTTATCAAATCTAGCACTAGGTAGCTCAGGAGTAGCCCTAAGATCAATTGGAGAAAACTTTATTCACGTATGATTTCGAGTTGGAAGTGAATGGAGAGTCAAATGACTGACCGGACGCTGGTCTGGTTGTGACCGGACGCTGAAGGGTGAGTCCGGTCAGTTCATTTGATCAACTAGAGTCGTCTGGTTGCGACCTGACGCTGAGTGAAAAGTGACCGTACGCTGGGTTCCTGTGTCCAGTCAACTCCAGAGAGGTTCTAGAGAGGGAGTTTCCTGATCGAACGCGTCCGGTCAGTGCTGACCGGACGCTGGTCAGGATCCGGTAACTGGCCGGACGCTGAACAACGAAGTGACCGGACTTTGGGTGCCAGCGTCCGGTCAACATCAGTAAGGTTTCAGAGAGCAGTTTTTGTGCTGATCGGACGCAGGTCAGAGTCCGGTCACAACTTAACGGATCTGTGAGGGGGATAACTGAACGAAGCGTCCGATCACCCCGCAGAGTGCTGACTCAATCTCTTAACGGTTCATTTTGAATGAGGGGATATAAATACTTTCTCTATTCATCCAAGGGAGGTCTCTTGCCCATTTGTTCAGCTGAAAAACACCCTTGAGAGTGCAAAGGAGAGCAAGAGTTTAGTGAAGTGATTGAGATTTAAGAATCTAAGATTAAAGCCTTATTAGTGTAAGGAGAGTAGTAAGTATGCATCCACCTTTCTCATTAGGTTTGTTGTGGTCAAGTAAGAGTTCATGCTTGTTACTCTTGGTGATCGCCATCACCTAGACGACTCAATGGTGATTGGAAGCTTGGTGATCATGCGACAAAGCTTGTGGATGACCCAACTCAAGTTGTGAGTGATTGTGGACGATTCACCGCGACGGAGTGTCGAATAATCAGCCCATAAAGAACACTTGATCCTTACGCAGATTAAAGAGGAGCTACACCCTTACGCGAGTGCTCCAACAACGACGACTAATGGAAAATGACGACTCTCCGATACATCGGTAAAACATCGTCGTGTTCCTTCTCCTTTCTTTACTTTAAGCATTTACATTTATGCAATTCATTTCTTATCTTTACATTCTTAGAATTGCCATGCTACAGTAGACTTAGAACATTAGGTGCAAAACTTTTATGCGGTAGAACAATAGAACATATTCTAGACATAAAAGGTGAAGTGGACTAAGCATAAAAGTTTAATTATTGCAAAAAAATTTATAATTAGTCCAATTCACCCCCTCTTAGCCATCTCGATCCTTTCACTTAAAAACCTACCATCAAGTCGTTATCTTGCGTCCAAACCGGAAGCTGAAATAATCAGGGCACGCATTAAGGCAACCAGATACCAAACAGTATGGAGTTCTTCTACCAGGTACACAGCAATTTCGGTTACATGATTCTCACGAGGCAGTGGCGCAAACGTCACAGCCTCACGGGGGCACACACACCAGTAGGCCCAGATAATCTCTCACTCGCAGTTGAGTCATCAACTCGCTCCAGATAAAAGGGAGCCGGTTTTGTAGAGTTCGTTTAAGCGACCAGAGTACACGAATCGCGTGACTAATAAGGGGAGAAACGTCTCCCACAGAACATTCAGCGCCATCACCAAAAACAAGCTAGTGCGATGTCCGGTTAATTTTTATGTAGTAACAGTCCGACTGATTTCACCCACCGAGAGCTAAGCCACCTGTAAAAATTAAAAGAGCCAAACGTGAAGCAACTATAACAAAAAAAATTAGTGCCTATATGCATTTAGTTCCAGACTCTGCAGTGGCAAATCGATGAAACGACAAGTGCATGGTCCTAGTACAAGACTGATGATATCAGGGGCAAAAAGAGCAGTATGACAACATGAAGCATCATTGTGATTGACAGAAAAGGTTAATCCCAGCAAAATGCATTCTAACAGCCAGCACTAGAACTCTGTTTTGTGCCAGCGAGCAAGTAAACTTGTAATGTCCAAAGATAATGACAATCCACCAGGAGAAATGACAGAAAATATATTACCATTACACTGCCATTTTCATCTCTATCTTCTGGTGAGGATCATAGCCAAACAGCTTGAAGTCTGATGCCATGAAAGAATCTATATCCTTTTTTGAAGGATTTATCTTCAAAATCTGCACATAAGGCCCCACATAGAACTTAGAAGGTGCATGGTCACAGAAAGTAAACAAAAATAAACATCAAAGCATTAGTTTATATATGCAGATTTCATATTTTTGATAAAATAGTTCTATTAGGAGTGGCTCACTGGAAATGGTTTAGGCATCTTCTGAATTTGCTCCTCCAGAGCTCGAACATGAGTTCTATAGACATGAGCATCCCCTATAACATGGACAAAATCTCCAGGAGAAAGATCTTGCAAGATTAAGACACAAAGGGTTAAAGATAAGACACAAAGGGTTAGAGTTGAAAAACAGACTACTAGCTTCTGTCAGTTAGATACAAGAAACATCGAAAGAAACGAAGGGACAACATACAAAATGGCATCACAAATCCTTACAGCAAACAAACTATTCACAACTTGTTACAAAAATATCTAGAATATAGCCCCAAGACTTGTGTGTGTGGTATGACAAACATGGAAGATTTGTTGCTACACGTAAAAAAGAAAATCAAAGCGCGGAATAAATGGTTCCAAATGAAACTAGTCTAAACTAGAACACTGATATACAGTACAACCAATAAGGTTTGTATTAAGGTGCACAATAAACATTGCACTAAGTGGAAATATTACAGTAAGGCATATAAGAACCTACCACAAACTTGAGCGATCATGTATGTCAGAAGAGAATATGATGCAATGTTGAATGGAACACCAAGCCCCATGTCTGCAGAGCGTTGATACATCTGGCAGGACAGCTCTCCATTTTCCACGTAAAACTGGAAGGTGAGGTTGAATACAAATGTTGTTAGTTGACAAAATTATCAAAAATAAGATGCAAGCAATGTTAAAAACATTATTATCAAGGAACAAATTTCTGTTCACTAATCTACTGTAATTTAAAAGAAAAAAAAAACTAATTTTCAACTTACAATGGATTAGTACAAGGGTGCACATCATGGACAAGTCAAAACAGGCCAATAGCTAACTCTAAGCTTAAATCAAGCTGACAAATAATACTAACTTGTGCAAACATGTGGCAAGGAGGAAGAGCCATCTTCTTGAGATCTGAAGGATTCCACGCCGACAAAATTATTCGGCGGTCATCAGGATTATTCTTGATCTTGTCAATCACATCCATTAGCTGATCAAAACCTTTTCCAGTATAGTCAGCATGCATGTCAGTGTATCTGTCAAATATGTCAACTTTATCAGAAAACATGAACACGAGAAAAAAGACTACGAGGAGAGGAGAGGAAAGGTATGTAAGCTTACTCAGCACCAAAGTGACGCCATTGAAATCCATACACTGGACCTAGATCACCTTCCTCCCTGTGTGCCAAGCCAACACTAGAAAAGATGGCGAAGTGGATTAGATATCAAGAATAGAGTATAATTTATCTGCAGTTTATATCCAATAGATAGATACCTGTCAAGATATTCTCTTGAAGCATTGCCATCCCAGATATGAATACCCTTCTCTTGCAAAACCTACAAATTGAAGGCCGTGTTTAGAAAACAGGACCTTTCAAGAAATAGTTTAATCCACTCAAGATTTGGGGAAGAATTCTGACATTTTTTTTTTCTCGGACACTCAGGATAGCTGCACATCATTTCATTAAGGAAGAAAAGAGAGTGCATAGGGAAAATAATCCCCAAACAAAACACTAAACCGCAAGCGTGTGTGACCACACGAACGCACGTAAAGAATTCTGACATTTGAAAAGGACCTAAGTAAATAGTAATAGTTGCTTTCTGCCCCAAAAAAAAACCTAAAAAGGTTTGCATAGAACCGAACAGAAATGATACATGACCTGGGTACAAGTAATGTTGGAACTAACCCCTCAAAGAAAATGAGGGCAATCTGTTTCAAGTCCAATGGATAAGATTAAGGCATGTGAGTTGTGAATACACAGCATGGTTAAAGACCCCTCACAGCAGGTATCAACACAGCATGGTCTTTACGCATCATGGCATGTGAGTTGTGAATACAGATTAAGGCAAGTACCTACAATAAATCAAAACATTGGCTAAAGACAGCACTAGACCCATTTTAATCCTGCACACCTTTGCATTTGTTGAGCCACTGATGAACCAAAGGAGTTCTTCGACAACACCACGCCAAAATACCCTCTGTTAAAGAGCACATGTTATTGCATTAGTCAAGAAATGGCAGCTAAATATATGGAAACATAGTTCTTCAAACTTTCTTTTGGACTTTGGATGGACTCTTGATGTTTAACAGATGGTGGCCTTAAGGCTCTCTATTCACATGTTGAGGGGAATGTTTTACAGGTAAGCAGGTACGTATAAAAAAGAGTTACAGAGTGGTAGAATGTTTGAAAAGAATGTTGCACTGGATCTACATATCTGTGTCTAGATAACAATAAATGTAGCACACAAGAGCTTTATTAACACAATGAACTAGGATAAAATGTACTCATGGTCTCGCACAATATGTCTATAATAACATATCAATAAGTGTATAGCTATCTCAGATAAATAATTACTAAACTAGTAGATGATTCAACAAAAACTGAGAATTAAGAAAAGAGTGTATGGGGGTCATAAAAGAAGAAAATTAAACCAGCATTGACTTGATTGCAAATACTGTAACAAAAGAAAAAAAGGACAGTACAATAATAAACATGCATTTGAAAATTAACAAGCACAAAGCATTAAAGACATACAAGCTTGTAAACACTGATTTGCCTTTTTTATTCTCACATATCATAAAAAAACAAAACAATTTGCAGCACATTCCTATTGCAAATTTTGACTCACTGTTAAATCCGAAAACTACAACATATATGCTTGCGTACCTTTGTTGTCAGTAGAGGAAAATTTTTCCTTAAGTTGAACCGCATCTAATAAGAAAATGAATGACAAATTATTTTTCCTGGTTGATCATATTAAATATTCAAAGTTAAGGAGAAATACCTGACACCCAAATTTTGACAGTGTTCCAGTTCCTGTCCTGTCATTTTTCTGAGCACCAGACCTTATAATATCTTCAACAAGATTGAGATATTGATACTCCTCATGGCGGTCATATACCATCTTGGGGAGAAAAGAGAAATTCTCTATTTCAAATTTGTCATTCTTGGTATCAACCTCAGTTGATTCCTTGCCATTTGACTCATGAGTTTCTGCCACTGACTTTCTAACACGAACAAAAGTCACAAAAGAATGCCTGATGTTGCTCTCTACCACTGGGAAAGATGAATACCATGGCTGGAACACTGAGAAGTCAACTGGAGGAATGAAAGTGTCACACTCAATGCTCGACTGAATGTCAGTTAGATGGATAGCCTCACATGCAGGTCCATTAAGATACTCTCTACATAAAAATAATGCAGAAGGGTGAATAGCATTGCAACACAGTTACATGCAGCAACAGAAACATGTACAGTATGTTGTTCAAAAAGGTAAATAACTCACCTCAGTACCTGCCCACCTCCTACAACAAAAACTTTCTCAATTGACAAGCAGTATGGAGTTGATGCTAGCAGTTCTAAGGCAGACTTCATACTTCCACATATAACAACATTCTCTACTGTTGCAAAATCAAAACTACCAGATCGAGTAAGTATGACATTCAAACGACCAGGCAATGGCCTTGACTTAACAGGAATGCTCTCCCATGTTTTCCTTCCCATTATAACTGCATTCTTCTTGGCAGGATCAGATGTAGTTAATGTAAGCTCTTTGAAGAATTTAAGATCACCAAGAAGCTTCCATGGCAAGACCCCATCCTTCCCAATGCCCATGTCACGAGTGGCAGCAACAACAACTTGATAGTTCCTCTGAGGACCATTCTGTGAATCACCATTGGCCGGAGCTGCAGCCATTGACATCAGTCGGGACTGACTAAAGTGGTATGGTCTTGATTTGGTGCTCCGGTACAGAAACTGAGGTTTTCTAAATTGAGAAATGGGTGAGCAAGCGGTGCTGGGAAATCTTGCAACCTAAATTTGAGGGAGCATTATATAAGCTAGCAATTTGATTAACCATTAAAAAAATAAAGTATACAGAAATATAATCATAATTGAACAACAAAGGCCCCAGGATGTCCCAGTGTTCAATACAACCAACTGTAGGCAGATAAATTAAAATACAATGGCTCAAGTACTTCTAAGAGTTCAATAAAAGAAACTGTATGCATATGTTTTCTAAAACTCTACTATTTTTCTTTCGAAAAGAAGCAGACAAAACCCTCACAAGTCTGAAAGTTTCTATAGAACAAACATGTATTAAGTTCCTACTGCAACTTGCTCAACAAAGTACAGTCAGGCAAGAAGCTGCATTTTGTCAGAACTCAAAAGCCTTTAGATTCAAAATGCTACCGCAATACATTTCGCTAGTAGTGTATACTCTGCATGCATGTCGAGAAAAGCTAGAGATGTACGCTCCAGCTCTGAGCACCTCTGCAACTAACATCTGGATCCAGAACTACAAATAACAAACGTTATCTTGGTTGATTGCACTATCGCAGCAAATGGAATAATATAAATCTGTTAAAAAAAAAGAGGAAACAGAAAAGTGGCAAGACATGTGGTTCCCTAAATGCCGAAACTATTATACTAAGTGACACAGTCACTTCAAACCAGTGTACATGATTACAAGTTTATTGTAAATTGTGGAAGGAGTTGGATTTTCAAAAAGGCCAAGTTACAATCAAACAGATAAAATAGAGCACACAATTCCCTTACTAGTATGTACTTTAGCATGCAAGAGAGTAAGGGCATGACATTGCACCCCCTAACAATTAACAGTGAAGTATTGATAGTAGCAGCAACTACATTGGTTGGTGAGAATCAACAACAGCAATGAGTTTGGTTGGTGAAAAACAACAACGAGTAGAACAGTTGTTGCAACTCCTTGAACGATCAAAAAGGCAGGAAGAAGAAAAACTGAACCAACCAGACAACCTTCCGGATTTCTAAAAAAATGCAGGAATTTCTACTGTTATATATGCTGAGAGAACAACCTGGCTAGGGGAGGAGATCGAAGTTTGCAGGCATAATACATGCATACTACACTTGTAAATAGGTCAAGATCAGATCGGAATACAAATAGCTTATACGTTAGGGTTTGGGCGCTCGGTTTCGCACAGCATGAACGGAAGAGGAGGGGTGGAGGTACCTGGTGGATGCTCGTCGCCGGCGAACTGGCGAAAGGCCCGAAGATGGCGTACGGCGGTGGCGGAGGTCCCCCGGCCCACAGTCGTCGCCACCAGAGAGTAGACACACAGCGCACTCGAGGGGCACGGGACACGAGAGCGCGTATGCGGGGAGAACGGCCGAACGGAAGAACAAAAGGCAGGTCGGCGGCCCGCAAGGCAAAAGCCGAAGGACCAGGCCGGCGCTGTACAACTTTGTAAGGCCTACTTTCGAGGCCGACGAATTTCAATTAGAAGAGGCCGTTTGTATATCTAGAATTGGGCTGAAATAATATCATGCTTTTTATTAGGCCAACGAATTTCATCATAATTTTAGTTAGCGGCCATTTGGATACGGTAATGCCAGCGAGCGGGCGTCTATCCGCGGACGCTCGCTCCTTCTGCTTGGGCTAGATGGCTAGCAGTCTACCCAGCCACCTCACTTATTCCCTCCCTCTCTCTTACACACGGGCTTGAACATCAGCTTTCCTCCTTCCTACAGACGGGAAACGCAGTCGTTGCCTGCTCGTACGAGAGCACGCGTACTGCGTCCTACACCCGCTCCTCAACCCGGCCCACACAGACTCCTCGTCGCTTCGACGGGCCATCGCCTCGCGCGCCCGCCTCGTACCCACACCTCGCCGCCGCGCCTCAATCCCCTCGCCGCCTCGCGGCATCCTCTCCAACTTCATTTGAGATCGGCGGCTCCTTCCACCATCGTGTGTGTGGCCAGCGGCCAAAAGAGGGCGTTGTCACCGGTGGGCCCAAGCCAAGCCAGTGCAGTGTGAAGGTCATTGTCAAGCCGTGCCACCATCCTCGACCACCGGCCGTTTGGAACCGGACGTTCCTCGCTGCGCTCAAGCGTCGTCGTCCGAGAGAAGAACGATAGGGTGAAAACGCATGTTGCAAGCATATGTTTCAAGTGTTTAAGATGTTTTAGTGGTATGTTGCAAATGTTTCATACGGATGTTGCAAAAAGTAGAACATGATGGTGCATATGTTGTAATGGTTGTACACGTATGTTGCAAACTTGTGTTCTCAATGTTTTATATGTTTTTCCAGACGTATGTTGCAAATGTGTTTTATTTAGATGTCGCATATATTTCACACATATATGTTGTAAGTGTTTTACGTGGATGATGCGTATGTTTTACAACGGTTTTAAGTATTTTTCAGGTGTTTTTGTAAGTGTTTTAGATGCATGTTTCAAGTGTTTTATCTGCCTTCGGAATTATGTTGCAAGTGTTGCATCTAGATGTTTCAAAAGTGATCGGATGTTGCATCTCTGTCCTCGCTTTCTGCTAACTCGCCTCGGTGTCTCCTCCTTCTCCCAAGACCGATTGGGCATCAAATCACCCCCCCCCCTCTTCTCAATGGTCTTTGATGTTCGGGAGGTGTAGGCCCCACGTGGATGCTTGAACGACGAGAAGAAATGCAGACGGCGGCGTAGGCGCATGGATTTCCATCGTCTCTAATGCTCGGGTGCTAGCAAGCACGATTTGGATATCTCGAATTGGGATGAATTAAAATCATGGTTTTAGGCGGTCGATTGGAGACTACGAGCCTATTTAGAACACATGAATTTTACAACAACGGTATAGAAAATTCACAAGGATCGGTTCATTTTCACAGGAAAATGCAGGAATAGAAAAAAAATCGTCCATTCCAAACATATGTACATTTGTGTAACTTGTTTAATAAAACTATGAGACTACTTATATTTTAGAATAATCCATTATATATATGAATTACGCGACTAAATAGAAAACATGCAAAAAAAATCATTGATGGTTTCTTACCAACCGCACATATTAACACAAAGAATACTATATTGCTGGACGTAGGGCTCAGAAGCCCGAGCTAGGATAAATCGCCGTTTCCCTCTTGTGTTTTTGAGCGTCCAAGCCACCGGAGACCCACACATTGACTTCCGACGAACAACCTCATTACGATGCTCACCGCGATTATGAACCCACGACAGCCCCTATTGTACAAAAGGTTTCATGTGAAGAGACAATGAGTTCTGAATTTTGTTAGGTTAAGCAATTTAATGTACTTTTGTAGTTTGATTTGTTTGCTTGCCTATTGCAATTCTATTGGATGATAGGATATGCTACAAGCCTACAACCTGCAACTCTTCAAACACTTTGTTTTTTCATGTGTCTGTATCGTCAATGGATAAAATAGTTAATGATTTGGAGTCAAATTTGATTCTTTAGAATACCATATTGCCATTCTGGTCCATGTTTTGCTCTCCGGAGACATCTTGTGTTATACCTGGTTCTTTCCGAGTAGGGTGGTAATTTTGATTTTTTTAATTAACTGAACCGTGTTTACTGGAAGCACAAGTAAAATGTTGTCTCTCTCATCAGCATTTTATTTGTTTGTTGTTCTTTGTCTACATCTTCTTTTAATTATCATGTTAACTTTGTGTATGTTAAGTTATCATTTGAACTGCTATCCTGTATATTGTTTGCTGGTACCTACAACTTTTTTATATATGGGAACATTTAATCAGATGGCAGTTCACCATTGTGAAACTGGTAACCTGGATTGAAACGGACCAATATATATCTAAAGGAAGTAAAAGCTTACTTGATAGAAGTTCCCATGTGTCAGTTTGTTTTTGTTAATTGATGGTACATAATTATGTGCCAACAATTAGTTATATGTGACGAATGCAATGTCATTATCAATAATAAGTTATAATCAGTATTTGTGATATGAACTTTTTAATGTGAGGATATATACCTATTGTGCCCCTCTCTCACATAGTTTTTTTTTGGATTTTGCGTTATTTTTGTATGCTATCGTTCAAGTTTTACATTATTGATTTATGAGAAGGAAGATATCTTTGAGAGGATATTTTCACTGTCTTTTAAGTTCAACTCTTATATTTACACAATATTGGATCATATGGAGTCATTTTGTTTTGGACTTTTATCCCATTGCCCATGGTGCCTTTATTCTTTTTTTTGCAATATATATTTGCTAAAAGTTGCATAAACTTAGGGTTAGTAAACTTGTAGCATTGATGCAATAAGATGAACTCACCGATTAATCCATAAACTTTTGTAATTGTATAATGCAATTTTATTTTTCAGACTTTACTTTCACATTCCATCTCTGTTTTTTATGTGTGTACTTCAGCCTTGTTTAAAGTTCTGGATCTTTTTATCTCAATTCTTCAACACAAGATCGGGGTGGGGTGTCATGCACTGTAGAACAGTTGGGTCTCAAGCTTTTTACCCTAAAGGAATTGTCATTAGCCACCTCTGCTTTCAACAAAAGGACTCTTATGCCATAACATGGGAACTCCATTTACGAAGGAAAAGATAGAAATAGAAAGGTGAGCCATCTTTTTTTTCCTATACAATATTGCAGCTACATTAGCATTAATTGTTGGTACTCAATATCTTATTGCTGTGTATATTGGAGCTTCTGATAAAATCGTATGACAAATTGGATATCCTAGAGAGGAAGGAGGAACTTCTGAGGTATATATCTGCCCCCTATAGGGTACACTGTGCCCTAGCAAGACTTCTTGGAGCGTCATTCAAAGAGGGGCCAAACTTGTGGTTGGTTTTTTTGAAAGCAAAGACTTGTAGCTTAGTACGTTTCAGGTGGATCTTGAAGGTCACAAACCACTAAAGAAATTACAAACTCTGGAAGGGGATCAACCCAAACATAGGATTG